AAAATCTTGTTTATTTTTGAACCTTGTTACTATTGTGTTGTATTTGTATCGAAAATTTTTTCTTTTATTAAATTATTTGTTATTTGTTCATTTTCATCATTAGATTGATTTGTGATGAATTAAATTACTTAAATGTTGATAAAGAAAATAATAATATAACTATACAACGTAAATCATGTTAATATGTATATATACTTAATTTTGCTTGTTAAATAATAAAGATCATTAAATAATAAGAGTAATCATTTTATAAATGATGTATTATCTAGTTCAATTAAATTTAAGAATTAATTTATTTGATACAGTTAAAGCATGTCGTTTAGTAAGATATTCAAATATTGATAATAATGTTTTCTATAATGTACAAGATAATATTATAAATCACCTGTTTTACAACTAAGAAATGGTTTATTTTTTCGAAATTAATTTATATAAATTATTTCTGATATAAATATTATAAAACATAATAAATCATGTATATTATCTGTTGAAAATTGACATGTTAATTCTACATGATTTTGTATTCTATCAAAATACATTGATATAGAATCTATTAATGCAATTGAATACGATTGATTATTATAGAAGTATGATAAAAGACTTTTTACATAAATTGTATTAAAATATTTTTTCAACATCATTTAAATTTGTTTCATTTGATATTAATCATTATGTTGATAAAATACCAAGAATAAGATAATGAGATATTGATAACTATACAAAATCCTAAGAAGACAAAAAAAAAGAACAGATTTATATTGTTTGTTATTTTCTCAAATCAATTTTCATTTACTATAAGAATTATCCTAAAATTTAATGCGATGAAAAAAAACCCAATACGTTTCCAGAGTTCAGGAATTTAAATCTTTAGAAAGTTTGTCGAAATTCTCGAATGCAATTTTCTTGTTCGAGAAAGACTTCGTGATGTTTTATAAAACTCAGCTACTTTTTTTTTACATAGATCTTCTTCGATCGAAATGAATATAAGATGAACATCACTATTGCATTTTTAGTCATCGGTTGATGATATTTGTTTCAAAGAATGTTTCATAAACTTGAAATTTTTGATTTCTAAAAATTATTTTCATTTTCTTCATTAGTCATTTCATCATATTAGAAAGACATCATTTTCTTTAGTTGTAACAATACAAATAGTAAGACTCAGAATTTGATTAATGAGATTCGAGAAGAAATTTGATCATTGTACTAATGTAGTTTAAATACTTTCCCTTACGATTTTTATTACTTGAAATTGTACATATTTTGTTTCTTATCTATATGGTTGAAACTCGTTCTTCTTTATATGTAAGTACAGTAGACTGACTAGTTTTCTATTTCAAAATATTTTTCGAAATGTTGAATTATTCAAAAATCCCATCTATTACTAACACACATAGACAAATGTTAAAGAAAAAACAAACATTTTTCCTTTAATTGGATTAAAATTTTCAATATACATATATATATATTATATTTATTTCGATAGATTAAACTAAAACATACCGATGACATCATAAACGATAATCATTTTTTATAAGTTACATTTTTAAGCATTTGTGCATAAATTTTTGTTGTTATATCCATAGGATAATAAAGATTATTAAAATCTTCTTTAGTAATATCGATTGATATTGTTATTGATTATATTTATAAAACTTAATGGTAAACATTTCGTTAATACTTGTTTATTTAATATTTATTCATCAAGTGTCAACGTCATTTCAATACGATCATAAACAATTAATTCAGTTAAACATAATACAAATATATATGATAATATAAGAAATTGTTCAATTAATAAAACTAATAAAAAAACCATTTTCATCTAAATGTATTCCTTCATAAATGAATAAATGACTTGCAACTGATGTATAATGTATAAGACCAAATATAATTTATGATAATGTATTAAATCATAATAAGATTGTAATTAATCATTTATGAATAAGTGTGTTATTAATGATGATGGTGTTTATATTGATGACCATCATGCTTCTTGTGCGCATTATCAAGTATATTCAGAATATGTATTCATTATCATAATAATTTAAAATATTCATTTAAACTAGTTAAATATGAAAATATATCAAGACAATATACAGTTTAATCATGAACTAATGATTGACGAAAATCATTTGGAATTTTTTCGACATTATTTAGCTAAAATAAAATTATAGATTTTATAAGGACATAGAAATTTTTTAAGTCAAATGTTTTATCGCTAGCTCATTGGTAATTAATGAAATGCAGGAAAGTTTTCTTCTCAAATGAATGGGTGATATATTACTATCATATAGATTATGATGAGAGCTTAAGATCTTTTGATTTTGATAGAAACTAGTTATTATCTGCTCAGATAGTTTCTTTTTTCTAAAGTTTCAAATCGAAATTTTTAAATCAATCATTATGGCGCTTGTTACAAAGATGACAAGCTCAGCTAAAAATAATATTCCTATTGTTGAACTATCATATCGATATGTACAAATACACTATTATTTTGATTCATTACCATTTTTCATAATATGCAGAGAAACTAATGTCATATTGATTTGACCACGTTATTGTCCGAAAATTCGTAATATTACGTCATGTAAAATTCGAAGAGGAGCGCTAAAAACAAAAGTAAGAATCGTAGTTTTTAAAATTATAAATAAAATCATTGCGAACACTTACTCACTATCTCGTATTCTATTAACTAATGATAAAGTATTATTCCATCGTGTTAATATCGGATCTTTAGTTAAATTTGATACAAGACATCAAAGAATGATATTTATATCAATTAACCATCAATTCATAGTTTGATGACTGATGTCCTAAAAAAAAGAAATTTAAACAACAGGAAAATTTCATAAATAAAAACAAACCAACATTTCTATTTGTTGATGCTCGAAAAGCAACAGCAAATGGATCAATAGGTCATAATTCAAATGATGATGCAACATCAAATAGTGTTGATTATGTTGAATAAATATCCAAAAGTGATTGATCCTATTTGAAAAGAAACAGTAACGTATAGTCGAAGATTATTAAAAAAAGAAAAATAACCTTAGATAAACCAATAGTAAGATGAACAAGAAGTACATCGACAATTTGTCGTGAAAAACGTTTTCATTTATTACCTTCATTTCGAACACTATCAACAATTGCAAAGTTTATAAAAATATCAATTCTATTATTGCTTTTTTTAATACGTAGAGATGATATGAAAAGATTCTTTTATTTACAATAATTAAGATGCCTACTTTTCCTTCAAACTTTTAATTGTCGTATCTTTTATCAAATATATAACTGAATATTGTTATTTCCAAATATTGTCGAACTCTTGGCATCAATAATATAGTTATTTTCGGACAATTGATTCGTTGGAGTGTAGGTGTGGGTTCGATTGAGGAGGAAAATTACACCTATACATACTTTCGAGTTTCTACGATATTTGAGACCTGATGGAAGAACATGTTTTGTTCACTCTTATTTAATAAAACGTTTTAGAAATTTTAATTGTTCGAATGGAGACTATTTCTTATAATATCACATTACTTTGTTGTATCGAACAAGTTCAAGTAAGGTTTCAACAAGAAATAAATCATATACAACTGGTTCTAATGTTGCTAAAGCTAAATAAAGAATTTTAGCAATAACTTATTTTTCTCGAAAATATTTTTTTTTTTTTACTTCCTACCATGTGTTTCAAGTTCATGTCCGCTTGCTAATAATTAATCACAATGTTTTATCAAATCTTGTACTTATATAACTTGTTTTGAATGAAGTGTATCATGTGATAACATAACAAGAAACTTATCAATACTATAAATAAAATATGATGATATATCATAATCTGGCATAGTTTCTTCAATCATTTCCAGTTGATAGATTATATGAGTAAGAAAATGCTGTTTAAAAAATAAACGAAAAGATTAAAAATATAACGAAAATTCATCAGCATTTGATCAACTACAATTAACACGAATTAAAAGTAATTGAACAAGTAAATCGAGTTCAATAAAAACTAAAATAGAAAACAAAAAAAAACAGAATAGATCAAATTCGTTTTTTTTTTGTTCATTTTACTCTCGCATTACACTATATTCTATGGATTGATCACTATTTATATTTGATATATAACGTGAACCAAATAAAATAAATAATCAATTGTCGAATAGTTATTGTATGAATATTATTTAAAGAATTATTTATTGGTACTTGTGAGGTAACAATTGAATATTTTGTTTCAGTAGATGATGATGAAACGATTGCTAATTAGTATAGGTTTAATGAAAACTAAATTAAAAGAATATTTTCAAATGAATGTTGTGTTAACAGAAAAGAATAATTTTCAAATTTCGAATTTCAAGAGAGAACCAAATGAAAAGATGTGGCACTTTCACAATAAACTATTCTCTCATTAAAACCGTCAATATTTGCAAAATCAGTTTTTCTGTTACTATGATATTCTTATACTGAAATTTTCTTTTTCTGGATTAGACCATTCCTGAAATCTTGATTATAAGATTTCCATCCAAAATTCTGTCCACAGACAAGTTTTTGATAAGAGACTATCACAGAGTATTTTTTTCTTGACCTGCTCTAAGGATAGGGTGCAGGGCATCAACAGATTAGAATAATACTTATAAATTGAATATGTCTCTTGCAAGATTTTAACCTTCAATAAAATAATGATATTCTCAGATGCTTTTAGTCACTAAACTCCGTGCTAGAAAAAAGAAGAAAGTAATTTTAGTTGCAAAACAATATTTATTTTTTACTAGGATCACATTTTCTTTATTTTATTTTATAAATATAAGTACAATTTTTATATTAATAAAATAAACATCAATAAATTTTTTATATTTTTTAAATCAAGATTAAAAATTTTTTTATTTTTTCAAAAATAAATCCCATAGATGATATGAACTATGCAAAAAGTTTTTTTTGCATATATATTCTTTTTTTCATGCACTCACTTGATTGTCTAATGATATGACATGCCGAAGTGATATTCATGGCAAGAAAGAATATTGCTTCACATATCCAGTTGTTATACTATGTATTTGTCTATTTATCTATAACAGAACAAATCTTTCTTTCCTCTTTAATTTTCAAAAATAAATAATTCATCTATCTTCATTTTATAAATATAAAGATTTATTTTTATTTATACTTGTTCTTTCCTATAATGCAAAAATAAAGTTATAACTGAAAAACAAAGTTTCGTTGTGCTGAATTTCATAAAGTCAGCAAAATTTTCGACATAAAATTTTTAAGAACTCATGTCTTCTGTTATGCTTTATGAAATTTTTTTAGTGCGTCGTGGTCTTCTAACATAAAATATGATCTTCTATTCTTGATTTGTGTTTGATAAAAATCGACCATCTTTTAATTCCATCGATTAAAATTAGGTCTTCTGAATGAAAGGCAACTTTTCTTTCTTATAGTTTTTTCTGTGTTCATCAAATTTTTAAGGAAGTAGTCAATTCATATTCAGATTTCTTATGACATGTAGCAGAAAAAAAAACTCGATTACATTTCTAATCAACTTCATTTTATATACAAGGTTAAATTCATTCAAAATTATTTGTGAAATGACAACCAAAATGAATTGAAGATGAAATAATTAGATTAAAATCGACTAAAAACATTCGCATTTTAATCAATTGTTTAATCAGAAAAACTAAACTGGAATTAGCCTTTTCTTTAAATTTTCTTGGCATAGGATAAACGTTTTTGCCCTGCCAGCCAGTCTCTGGTTCAGACCCAATACGACATCCTAAAGGTTTTAGCTCAACCGATTAGTAGAAGAAGATTAATAATTGAAATTTTCTAACTAATATGTACTATTTAAAAGAAGTTTTACCTCTTTTGTACATTGAACGTTGATTTAAAATAATTAAGTATTTCTTCCAAATTTTTTAATAAATCTTGTGTAGAAATAAGACTTACTACTGATTTTATAGAAAATACTGTTGTTGAAAGTAATCGTTCAAAATTAACTTTTGTATCTTTATTTGTGTTTGATATTATTGATGAATCTTTATCATTCTCTAAAACAAAAAAACAAATGAATTCATTCAGACAAGACATGATCCAACATATTCTTCAAATCTAAAACTTTAGAACTCCTTTCTTCTACGAAAGCTGAAATATCAATTATAGAAAATGATCTCCTGCCCAACAAAAATGATGATTGTGAAGTTTTTTGCAATAGTTCGAGGACATTAATAAAATAATTCAATTTTTGAATAACTTGAATCATTTGTGCTACTTTAAAAACATTTTTTCATTTGTTAAGATTTGATAAATTTTCAAAAAATTAAATTATTATTATCGAGTAATAATTGTAAATTATTAAAATCATATCATATAAATAGATGTATAAGTAAACAAAGTTTATCATATTGATTATGAAAAAAAATGATCGAATTGTTGTTGATCCTAAAACATTTGAAAGAGCATAAATACCTTCTAAACCTCCAACTTATATAAAAGACAAAAATAACAAACAATTTATATTCGAGTGGATGTTTGAGCTAAACAATCAAATATTAATGTTGGTAAGCATGATATTGTTTCACATTGCACTCCATCATTGAATATAATTACAGAAGTATTTGTTTGTTACAATGAATAATGAATTTTATGCATCCATTGACAGGAAGAATTGATCCATTTAGGTAAATAATGTATTGACCATTGATACACTAAAAAAAATGAATTGTGATCAATAAACCTTAAAATCAAAAAGTAGCTAGTAACTAACTTAATACAATAAAATCGACTGATGCATTCAATTTCAAAAATAAAACTACGGAGTTAACTAACATCTCTACAATTGACATACTTAGCAAAAGTTAAAGTAGCTGCTGGGCGAACACTTGTATCATTATCAGTAAGAAATAGAAAGATAATGTTAATACAATGATCAAGTCATGATCGATTCTAAAAATAAAAGTAAAACAAAAAAAAACCACGATACTGTTTTTATCTTCTATATGTGATTAGTTTTAATTTACTGTTTTTTTTTATCTGTTATTGTTGTTGTTCAAGATAAGTTAGTATTCAAGAAAATCAATATTACGCAAAATTTGAGCTAGAGCAACCTATTTTATACACATAAACAGTTTATTGTAATCATAAGTTTCATTTGTCTACTTTAGCAAGAATATAAGAACTTGTACTATGTTGAGTAGAATCTTCTAATAATTCAATTCCTATGATTATAAATGTATAACACGTGTATTATTATCCTAAAGACATAATCGAAATGTAGAAAGTAATTCTGCTAATATACCTCATTGAATATATTTAAAAACAAAAAGAAAAAATAATTTTATCAAAAACAAGAGACGATTTAATATTCTAATCTAACCTTGAACTGTCTTGTGAATCAATTGATACAAATGAATATTCATTAATAAAAGAATTATTAAATGAATTTGATTATGATAATAGTCTTAAAAGATGAATTGTTCTTTTTAATTAATGTAGCAAGGAAAGAAATTTGCATATGTATCACATAAATGTAGATCGTCTACCTCGATGTTCGATAGATTTTAATGCATTACAAGTCATATAGAGATAAGAATTTCATATCAATTAGAAAATTTTTATTTAATCAGAAATCTTCAAAGATTAAAGGAAAACTCATTCGAGAATACAATTGATTTCATATCATAATGAAAAACCGAACATCTTTTTCGTACTAGATATGTACAGAATTCGTACTTTAGCTTCGAACTTTGTTTTTGAGGTAATTATGTGATTGTATAATTTCAATCTCTGACATATATAAATGCAGCCTCTGGACTCTAAAATTTTTGTATGTCTAACCTATTTAGTAAAATGCTCTACTCTTTTGTTGGTTTCAAAAAGTTTAAAATTTCATATTGTTTGGTTTCAACAATTCAATAGTAAAATCTTCATATCTATCAGATAACTTTCACTAAAACTTTGAGACCATATCCAATTGAAGCCACGTTAACTAAACTCTGCTACAAGCTTCTTCGTCAGATTTATCCTATTCATCTGAGTTCTCCTACTGTTACAACATTGGAAATAATTTTGGATTATAAACTAAATGTATTTTACTGAACTGAAACTTTACAAAAAAAAGTCTCAAACAAGCATTAAACATACTTACAGTTGGATAATCAAATTATTAACACATTGAGCAAATGTCTAATTGAAAAAAAAAACATAATTGATTAACAAGTTTAGCAACTGATGTTTGTTTTTCATTATTAATCATTGATTTTGAATATAATTCATCATTCATTTTATATACTAAAATATCGTGTTGTTTATTAATTTCAATAAATCAACGTTGATATGTTGAATAATCTATTATTTTAGAAAAAAAATACTTGTTGTTCTCTTTTCACAATATTTACCTGTGTTTAATGTGTGACTAATACAAGTTACTTCTATAGATCCAATTTGAATTGAAATTAATAATTGATCAAAATCAAATAAATTTAAATATAATTTCATGTGTTTCCAATGAATTTCAAATTACAATATGATCTTTTATGTTGTAAACAAATATAAAATATCATATCAACGTATTAAAAAATAAAGATTTACATAGAAAATAAAATCATTCATTATTTATCAAATACTGATTGAAAGATGTTGTTCATTTGTACCAATATTTCTAGTTCTTGTTATTGATCGTTGACTTTTTCTTGATAATGATTGAAATTTTTTGATATTTAATTTAAGATAACCAATTATTAAAATTTTACTATGATTTTGATTATAATGCTCAAATAATTGATCTGTTAGAATAAAAGACAAATTATAATTAATTGAAATAATTATTTGAAAGAAAACTTACCAATTACATTTATCATTAGAAAACGTTCTATAATCATAGGATAACATATTGACTGAACAGGACATGAGAGGTTCCTGAAAATAATTTATTATTAATATTAGGAAAAAAAAAGAGAAATTCATTCTCACTCGACTTCATACCTTAACTATAACGATTGTTAGTGAATCAACTATGACTAATTTATTTCATTTCTCATTGATATTTAATGATAAATAAAATTTTATTATTTTTACTGCAAATGATGAACAGTTTCTCAATCGATATTTCGTCAAATAGTATGAGACTACCTATTCTACATTATCTGAAAAATATCCTTTCCTGCTCTAAGATTTAACTAAAAATGGACTCAGAAGTTGTCGATTAACTAGAGCAATCGCATAACTTTTTTCTGATTACTTCTTTAGAAGAGGTTTCTTAGATGACAAGAATTTTCTTTTTTACTTACTTTGATTTTTTCATCATTAATTGATCAACCAAGAATATAAAAAATAAGTTCATCATATTCTGATAAAATGGTTGAATCTTTTTCGAATGTATTGCAATTGCTGATTCGTCAAATCGCCATAGAACATTTAATTGAAATTGAAATTGAAATAAAACAAACCTTTGAATGCTTTTTATTCAACATTAGGATTATCTTTTATAATCCTATTTTGTAATTCATACAAAATTATTAAAAAAAAAGAATGTCTTTTATAATACTTTTACAATAGTCGTAACTGATTTAAAATTATTTTCACTTTTATCTCAAGAGCAAAAAAAACTTTCGATAACATGTTGTTGTTGAAAATAATTTTAAAACTTCAAGTGATTTACTTAGTTTATCCATTTTGTTTAATTTATATTGAATTCATTTATTTTAAAGCTAAATAAATAAGTTTAAACATTTTTTGATAATCATAATAAATGAATGAATAGTCGACGGAAAAAGTCTAACGTCGATTGAATATTCACCTTCATCAATGAATGAACGAAAAACTATTCTACAACAAATCTTTATATTAGATCCATAATTTTGACTGTAAATTATTATTTAAAAAAAATCAATTACTGCACTTGTTCTATTTGAACTTCTGTTTTATTATATATATTCAATCAATATGATCGTAAAATAATATTTTTGTAAAACGTTATGTAATAAGTAACAAAAATCATTAAATTTATAAAAATTCCTTTCTCATTTTCTTCTTTCAATTATCTCTTATATATGTGTATGTTACTAATCAAAGAGAATAGTCGATAATTTTTTTTGTGTTCTTCTTTCGTTCAGTCATCACTCTTATAGCATGATATTGAGTGCACGACATGTCATTTGTTCTTACACATTCAAGATGAAAAGAAAAATAAATCGAACATAACATGTGTAAAGACAATAGAGATATCGTGCACTCAATATCACAGCATGCGTTAAAACAACCGGTTGTCATCATACGCTGCGTATTAAAATTCCGTCAACGTCGTCTTTCTTCGCGTTTCTATGTTTCTTCTCGTTCTTCGTAACAGAAGAAAAACAAATGGAGCTTTCGAGGGTGGCTCTAAAACAAAATGAACCTTCCCAGGGATATCCGACGT